AAGATTTTTGAATTATTTATTAATTAACTAGTGTTTTCTGAGTCAGTGTCACAAAGATGAAATTGATGATCCTGACTCGCCATCTCACCATGGATGCGAAGAGAAATGCATCTTTGCGGATTACATAATGAAAGAGTTTTTTTGGATTTGAATCATTTCATTTTGTGGTCATTTAAAGCTTTCTATAGCTAGATATATTCATCATGTCTGTAAGGAAAATATTCACTAAGTTTCGGTTCATTTTTGTGAAGCGCTCCTGTTCTACACCGAGACGGCAAGCGCATCCTATTTTTTTTCTTTATTTTACAAAAGCACAATGTTTTGTTGATATTTTGATTGCACACAAATAAAAATAGACCCTTTACAGTTCCGAACAATGCACTATTCTTACCTGTATGAGCAAAAATGACGGTGTATTTAATTTGTATCCACTGATGTCCTGAAGCGCGCTTCAGCTTCCACTCTCCGCACAAACGACAGGATATGCACCTAACAGCGCACATTTATTTAGGTTAAATGTTTAAACTAACATTGGGATATGCTTTAAATATTTTATCTATAGATTTTATTTTTGGCAAGTCGTACTTGGGCTACAACATCGTATGACATTGTCTCATATGATGCTCATACATTTCTTCATATTGCGTTAGTATCTGATAACACCAAATCAGTAAAAGAATAAAAATTGCTCTACAAAAGATCTCCATGATTAGCCTGTTTTGCACTTCCTGTTGTCCCTGCGTGAGAATTTCTGTCCAATGAATGGATGACCTTAGCACACGTGTGGTTTTGTTTACAATTTCTGGCTCACTTGCAAAAAAGTGCAGTGTGAAAGCGAACCGCACCAAACAAAAAAGAAAATTGTATTTGGTCCGGACCAAAGCAAGTGAACTAGCGGACTTTCCTGGTGTGAATACACCCTTAAGTGTAAAAGCGCGAAACATCATTGCATAATAATTATGCTACATATTAAACGCATTGTTAAGTTGCTGGCTTCTGACAGCGGTCAAAATGTCAAACATAGCCTAAATGAACAAGTGTTTCAGGATGGTGTGAATACACCCTTAAGTGTAAAAGCGCGAAACATCATTGCATAATAATTATGCTACATATTAAACGCATTGTTAAGTTGCTGGCTTCTGACTGGTCGATACAGCGGTCAAAATGTCAAACATAGCCTAAATGAACAAGTGTTTCAGGACGGCTAGAGTTGGGGGTTCTTCGGGAAAAAATGAAATGTTACACATTTTAAGTAATAAAATATTGCAAAACATGCCCCCCCCTCCCTAACTCATAGCCTATAGGTGACGATCAGGATTAATAGCGATGCAACACACATTTACAGTTAACGCACGGCACAAACATCGTTACACTGATAAACTACAACCTCGGTTGCCTTGAACAGTTTTAAGTGATTCATCTTTTCATTTGAACAGTATATAGAGAGCTATTATAACAGCTCGCATACCTGTGTTCACAATATCGGATGTTTATAAATGCTATAATGAAACATTACCTTGTTTGAGGACGAGAGGTATCGTAGTCACTAGACGGACACTCCTCTTGGATGATCTGATTCTGAATCACACAACTTCACATGCTCTATAATAACAGCGCGCGAGTGTATTTATAGGCAGAAGCATCTGTGTTCACAATATCGGATGTTTATATTTATAAATGCTATAATGAAACATTACCTTGTTTGAGGACGAGAGGTCTCGTAGTCACTAGACGGACACTCCTCTTGGATGATCTGATTCTGAATCACAACTTCACATGCTCTATAATAACAGCGCGCGAGTGTATTTATAGGCAGAAGCAAGCGGTGGAAAGTACTGGTCTCCTCCTCACAGGACGTCACGTGGTGAGACTTTCGCTTTTCTCTCGGTTGGAGTCAGTGTTTGGAAGAGATTGCAGATTTTTCCAATAACACCTCAGATGTGTTTTCTAGAGCTTTCGTGTTTATCTTTGGACCATGAAACTAGTGCCACGGAATAACTGACAGAAATCAAATAATACCTACTCTGAACTATTTTGTTATCTACACATGCGCGTATAGGCTACATATATTGGCAAATTATGCAATGTGCGGTGATATTTAAAGGGACAGTTGACCCAAAAATGACATTTCTGTCATCATTTACTCACCCTCCACTTGTTCTAAACCTGTATAAGTTTATTTCTTCTGTTGAAAGCAAAATAATATATTCTGAAGAACGTTAGTAAGCAAAATGTTAAAGGGATAGTTCACCCAATAATGAAAATTCTGTCATCGCATGTTGTTCCAAACCCATAAGACCTTTGTTCATCTTTGGACCACAAAACTAAAAAAAAAAAAAAAAGTTTAATCTTGTGAACATGCATTGAAGACTGACACAGAAGAGAATAAATTGTTGAATAAAGTTATTTGTGTTTTCTTTGCACACAAAACGTATTCTCGTAGCTTCATAAAATTAAGGTTGAACCACTGATGTCACATGGACTATTTTAACGATGTCCTTACTACCTTTCTGGGCCTTGAACCGGTCAGTTGCATTGCTGTCTATGGAGGATCAGAAAGCTCTCGGATTTCATAAAAAATATCTTAATTTGTGTTCCGAAGATGATCGAAGGTCTTACGGGTTTGGAACGACATGAGGGTGAGTAATTAAAGGTACAATAGGTGATTGTCTTCAGAAACATTTTTTGTTATGCTGGTTGAAAGTCTCTTCACATCCCGATAGCAATTATGAAGTTAAGTGGTCTAAATGTATTTGTCTGTATTTATATATTCTGTGGAAGGCGTAGGATCAAGAAATGTCCATCCAATCAAAACGCTCGGTCCGAGTGTTTTAATAAGCTTTCCTACCTGCCTGTCAACTATATATTAGCATACCTCTGCGCACCTGGTTCGCGCAGACAGGATACGTCATCACCGCGTTCACTCACGCTGTCCAGACAGAGCGAGAATGGCAGACTAACATCAACAACCCGATCTTTCTTCCTGGTATTGTAGTACTTTTAAAGTTTTCTCACCGGTGAATGACACATGATGTAGCCCAGCGGTTAATCTAGTCCTCGCGCCAGCTCGTTAGAAGTGAGCTACGTGCATGAACTGTGTTCTGATCTATATGATCCCTACACAGTGTTCATTGCTCCCTACTCACTGAGCGGGGGAAATCCGTTGAAGTTTACTTCACTTCGGAACATGGGCTGGAATTGAGAACCGCTGATGTAGCCTATTGTAGTAATGTTGTCTTTGGTCTGTGAGTGTAAATGCGTTCAGGGGGCGTGGCTTTGGACGGCGATTGCAGGGAGGGTGGGACATTCGCGTTCAGTGCTATCAGGCTAAAGTTAGCATTTTCCAAGATCTCCTATTGTACCTTTAATTACAGAATTTTCATTTTGGGTGAACTATCCCTTTAATAGCCATTCACAGCTTTTTTCATACTGTGGAAGTCAATGGCTACCGTCAACTGTTTGGTTATCAACATTCTTCAAAAGAAACTCATGCAGGTTTGGGACAACTTAAGGGTGAGTAAATTATATTATTTATTAATTTTATATTTCATTAATATTATTTTATATTTTATTTATTATTATTAGCCTATTATTATTATTATTATTATTAATGCTTATCATAATCTTGTACTGCAGTTATATCTGATCAAATGCACATTATTATTCTTTAGTTTGGGTTAAACAAATACATTTTGCTTGGTTGAAACAGCAGCTACGCTAATTATGTCTCTATTTGTTTCTCTGTTTTTGCCACGGGTGTAACTAGGATTTACACAAGCTTCAGTCTGGATCCAGAACACCTGAGAAGAGATGATGCAACCCCTCAGAGGACCTCAGATGATGCCAACCCTGAAACAACATACAGAACTACCACATTTTGCTATAAGTTTGATTGCATCATACAATAATTGCTGTTAATAATGTTCATCGTCTGTTTGATTACGTCTTTAATTGATTTTTCCGTACATTTCTGACATATGTACATTGACTGACAGTCACCACTGATAAGCTACCACTAAATATTGTAGAAACTTAATTTGCTGTAAAGTTGCTTTGCAGTGATTTGTATTGTGAAGAGCGTTGTACAAATAAACTTGAATTGAATTGAATTGTTATTAGCCTATTATTATTATTATTATTATGTGACATTTTAATGAGTGTATTTACAGTAAGCTGTGTGTAAGCAAGCTTCGCCCCCTGATCCCTGAACCTTTTCAGCTTTGCTGCCCCCTGTCGCGCTGGTAAGAGCTGACGTTACATAATTCATTTGCTTGGTGGCAGTCACGCGTAATGAAACTTGCTTGTGAAACGAGTTACTCATTAGAGCAAACAATATGACGCCCAAAATGTAATTCTCAAGACTTCCCAATACACATTCAAGTGAGCAGCAGAGCGTAAGCGAGCATGCAATGGAAGCCGCCATTGTGGCTCCTGTTCTGCAGCGCTGCTGAAGCAGAACGCTATGGTGGGTTTGAGCCAACATGGCGGCTCGAGGGCTGTAGTTGCAGACACGCCCCCTGTGAGTCAGAGGGTTTTAGGAGCGCTACTGTAATGACAGCTCAAAGCTGTCCACGTCAACACTGTGCTACCACCATGGACTCCGCGGCTCTGGTAGGATATGTGTGCCGTTAAATCGCTGTTTTTAATTCCTTTACTCTTTGTAAACGTTGAAATAGTAGATCGACTGGCTTTGGTAGCTTGTACGCAGTTTTTGTTTTTGACTCGATAGAAAATATGTTTTCGACAGCAGCTATTTACTCTTTAAATAATATTCTAAGCCTTCTCTTAAGAAACTATACAGTTGTGAACTACTGGAAATATGTCGTGTCTGGTATTATAAACGCTCGTGCATGCATTATTTTTCTCGCCAAAACGAAGTTTTGAAACCGTCAGAAACCGATCCGTTCTGTCTTTGCGAGCGAACGAAAATGTATGAGAGCAAGCAATAACATTCTTTTTCCGATTATGAACGGATCATACATTGTAGTGCCTTTGTAATGTGTTCTCGCTTCTCGTGCACTACGGGTTTGTTTATATTAACTTTCCACTTGTGTTCAGTTTGTTCTGAAAGTTGTTTTCCGTCTACTCGTGGGAGATGTGGGTTTTCATAGTGGGACGTGGATGCCACGTCCTCGACGCGTCTCTGCGGAGCGCAGCGCGTGATTGATTCCACAGGTGGACACTTGGAGGAGATCAGGGATATTGCTTGCCATGGACATTTTAATACTCTTACGAGTTGACCTATATGGACAACATCAGTACTAACTGTAAATAATTAATACTGTAGCTGTAGAAAAATAGCAGCACCTCTGTTTGGCGGCGTTAGACTAAAGAAGTGCTTTTTATAGCTTATTAATTCTTTAAGATTTTAAACACTATATAAGACGAAGAATGACTATATATATATATATACTATAACTACATTATGCTTTTGAATACTGAATAGCCTATATTGGAAAATATTTTATGTATTGTATTTAAAAAGGTGATGCTAACAGGGTAGACAGTTTTACAGAAAATTCATTCATTACTATCCTTGTAAAAATACAAGGCTTTACACATAATCTTAAGGAACACAAAAGGAACCCTTTCATGGAAGTAACCTTGGATGAAGATATGCTGCATATTTTATTGTTATATATAACAATTTATATTAGTGAAAGGGTCATTGGTAACACTTTTAATAAATGAATTTGCAGTGCAAGGTGTTATCGTGAAATAGATAACAGAGTTTCATTGTTGGAACCCTGAAGGTCCACATCGAGATTCTCTTATATTCCAACCAGATGATCTGAAAAGATGATCAGATGATCGTTTTCGCCTTCTGTTCGCCTGGCTCAAGTTCTGTGATACACTCAGACTTTGAATCAGTGGTAGTCAGTGCATGACAGAACTTTGGCCCGGACGGACCCCAGTCATTTGAGAGCCACCAAACAGCTGCTTCTGACTAGACTTTCTCTTTTTATAGTATTTTCCTGTGTGTATCATGTAACTGTATTATTTCAAGGGTGTATTTATGACCTGAGATATGAAAAAAGAGTAATGTTGAATATTTGAAAATAACGATTTATTTTCAACCAGGAGCCCTCGCTCTACACTGTGAAGGCTGTCTTCATCTTAGACAACGATGGAAATAGACTTCTTTCAAAGGTGAATGTACCCTTCTAGAATATTCGTTCGTGTCATTGAAGATGAAAATATTCTTGCACTTTAGACATTTGGGTTATTTTCAAAAACAATGCAATTGTTAAACTATTGGCACATTAGCCATTCACTAATATATGGAAGAGAACAGGGATATAATCTAATTACATATCTAGAAAGAGAAATGTAGGAACTTCACCTCAAAGAATAACATTAAAAATAAAAATGTATTTATTTTATTTAAATTGGTATTCATTCAAATTCTATGACTTTTCTTTTTAGAGTAACAGAAACAACTATTAAATTAACTTTTATGCTGCTTTATAATCAACACTTTATATCGATTGAGATGCAAAATCAAGCTTCTATAAAAAAAATCTGAATTCTGGCAGGGCTTAGCTTCATCACTAATTAAGCACACTTTCACCCGACAATCTGGAATTTTCCA